TCAGATCACGGATCCAATCCGCATCATTGCTACTAACATCTTTCAACACAATTTTCTCTAGGAACATTCAAAATAAATATATGAAAAGCAACAACGCGAGCTATTGATCTACAACATAATTTGCAAAATACTACCTAGACTAAGTTCATGATAAATTTAAGTTCAATTAATCATATTACTTAAGAACTCCCACTTAGACAGACATCTCTCTAGTCATCTAAGTGATTATGTGATCCAAATCAACTAAACCATGTCCGATCATCACGTGAGATGGAGTAGTTTCAATGGTGAACATCACTATATTGATCATATCTACTATATGATTCACGTTCGACCTTTCAGTCTCCGTGTTCCGAGGCCATATCTGTATATGCTAGGCTCGTCAAGTTTAACCTGAGTATTCCACGTGTGCAACTGTTTTGCGCCCGTTGTATTTGAACGTAGAGCCTATCACACCCGATCATCACGTGGTGTCTCGGCACGAAGAACTTTCGCAACGGTGCATACTCAGGGAGAACACTTCTTGATAATTTAGTGAGAGATCATCTTAAAATGCTACCGTCAATCAAAGCAAGATAAGATGCATAAAGGATAAACATCACATGCAATCAATATAAGTGATATGATATGGCCATCATCATCTTGTGCTTGTGATCTCCATCTTCGAAGCACCGTCGTGATCACCATCGTCACCGGCGTGACACCTTGATCTCCATCGTAGCATCATTGTCGTTACGCCATCTATTGCTTCTACGACTATCGCTACCGCTTAGTGATAAAGTAAAGCAATTACAGGGCGTTTGCATTTCATACAATAAAGCGGCAACCATATGGCTCCTGCCAGTTGCCGATAACTTCGGTTACAAAACATGATCATCTCATACAATAAAATATAGCATCACGTCTTGACCATATCACATCACATCATGCCCTGCAAAAACAAGTTAGACGTCCTCTACTTTGTTGTTGCAAATTTTACGTGGCTGCTACGGGCTTAGCAAGAACCAATCTTACCTACGCATCAAAACCACAATGACAGTTCGTCAAGTTAGTGTTGTTTTAACCTTTGCAAGGACCGGGCGTAGCCACACTCGGTTCAACTAAAGTTGGAGAAACTAACACCCGCTAGTCACCTGTGTGCAAAGCACGGCGGTAAAACCAGTCTCGCGTAAGCATACGCGTAATGTCGGTCCGGGCCGCTTCATCCAACAATACCGCTGAACCAAAGTATGACATGATGGTAAGCAGTATGACTTGTATCGCCCACAACTCACTTGTGTTCTACTCGTGCATATAACATCAACGCATAAAACCTAGGCTCGGATGCCACTGTTGGGGAACGTAGTAATTTCAAAAAAAATCCTACGCACACGCAAGATCATGGTGATGGCATAGCAACGAGAGGGGAGAGTGTTGTCCACGTACCCTCGTAGACCGTAAGCGGAAGCGTTATGACAACGCGGTTGATGTAGTCGTACGTCTTCACGATCTGACCGACCCAAGTACCGAACGTACGGCACCTCCGAGTTTAGCACACGTTCAGCTCGATGACGATCCCCGGACTCCGATCCAGCAAAGTGTCGGGGATGAATTCTGTCAGCACAACAGTGTGGTGACGATGATGATGCTCCACCGGCGCAGGGCTTCGCCTAAACTCCGCGACGATATGACCGAGGTGGAATATGGTGGAGGGGGGCACCGCACACGGCTAAGGAACGATCCGTAGATCAACTTATGTGTCCTAGGGTGCCCCCCTGCCCCCGTATATAAAGGAGCCAAGGGGGAGGGGGCGGCCGGCCAAGGAGGGCGCGCCAAGGGGGGAGTCCTACTCCCACCGGGAGTAGGACTCCCTTCTTTCCTAGTTGGAGTAGGAGAAGGGGGAAGGAGGAGGAAGAGGGGAAGGAAAGGGGGGGGGTGCCGCCCCCCTCTCATTATCCTATTCAGACTAGGGAGGGGAGGGGGCGCGGCCCACCTCTTGCCTCCTCTCCTCTTCTCCCTTAGGGCCCATGAAGGCCCAATAACCCCCGGGAGGGTTCCGGCAACCCCCCGGTACTCCAGTAAAATGCCGATTTCACCCGGAACACTTCCGATGTCCAAACATAGGCTTTCAATATATGAATCTTTATGTCTCGACCATTTCGAGACTCCTCGTCATGTCCGTGATCACATCCGGGACTCCGAACAAACTTCGGTACATCAAAACTTATAAACTCATAATAAAACTGTCATCGTAACGTTAAGCGTGTGGACCCTACGGGTTCGAGAACTATGTAGACATGACCTAGAATTATTCTCGGTCAATAACCAATAGCGGGACCTGGATGCCCATATTGGCTCCTACATATTCTACGAAGATCTTTATCGGTCAAACCGCATAACAACATACGTTGTTCCCTTTGTCATCGGTATGTTACTTGCCCGAGATTCGATCGTCGGTATCCAATACCTAGTTCAATCTCGTTACCGGCAAGTCTCTTTACTCGTTACGTAATGCATCATTCCGTAACTAACTCATTAGCTACATTGCTTGCAAGGCTTATAGTGATGTGCATTACCGAGAGGGCCTAGAGATACCTCTCCGAGAATCGGAGTGACAAAACCTAATCTCGAAATACGCCAACCCAACATGTACCTTTGGAGACACCTGTAGTACTCCTTTATAATCACCCAGTTACATTGTGACGTTTGGTAGCACCCAAAGTGTTCCTCCGGTAAACGGGAGTTGCATAATCTCATAGTTACAGGAACATGTATAAGTCATGAAGAAAGCAATAGCAATATACTAAACGATCAAGTGCTAGGCTAACGGAATGGGTCATGTCAATCACATCATTCTCCTAATGATGTGATCCCGTTAATCAAATAACAACACATGTATATGGTTAGGAAACATAACCATCTTTGATTAATGAGCTAGTCAAGTAGAGGCACACTAGTGACACGATGTTTGTCTATGTATTCACACATGTATTATGTTTCTGGTTAATACAATTCTAGCATGAATAATAAACATTTCTCATGAAATGAGGAAATAAATAATAACTTTATTATTGCCTCTAGGGCATATTTCCTTCAACATGTACATGTTCTGTATTTTTTGCAGTTTTTAGTGCATGCTCGGAGAACAAGATAAGAGGAGAGGCTTGAATCTTGAGATGACAAGGGTAGTCACCTGCTGCGACTAAAGGTTCAGTTTCATACTTCTGATGATATTGTTCGGATGATTGCCCTTGTACTATTCTTTTTAGTACGTACTAAAATATCTTGTTGTACGAAAATCTGATTTCTACTAAAACTTTGTCAAGTGGCTCATTTTTCTTGTACTAATATCTGATTTTTTTTACTGATTACTGAAATGTACCTTGTTACTAAAACTTCATAGGAAGGAGGTCAATGAAGCAAAAGGGACGAAAAGGAAGGAGCAACGCCACAGGGACGATGTTGTCGGCAGCGCTTTGGAAGGATTCGCTCCAGAGAAGTTACGGTAGTCGGCCATCGCCCAGGGGAAGCGGGGAGAATGTCGTTCAAAACGCCTGGGTCTAGAGGAGTGTGTCCAGGTGGTGGTCGAGGATGGCGACAAGCAATTGGGTTGGGCATTTGTCAACGTGATGGCGTCGTTGCTCAAGGTACCAACACCCTTGTTTTGACCCAATGTTTCTCGGCTAGCTGTGCATGGCTGGGACTGTTTCGTGCATATAGGGGACGACTCATGCCATCCACTTCCAAAGCAATAAGGTAGCCATCCATGTCACCGTCGCTTGCTGTTAGTTTTTTTTTGGATTCCATAGGTGTTCCTTAATGCATCAATCATTTTCAATTAGGACGGGAGTCTGAAAAATGTTGTAAGATTATCGCCATTTTTTTAAACTACAAAAGTCCAAAGATTAGAAGCATGATCTTTTATTTTTCATGTTGCTCTACCTCTGTAGTGTCAAATCATAGGAACTTTTATCACATATGCTAATTTATCCTTGATGGCAAATAATTCGAACAAAATATTCGGAAGTAATGGAGGCCTCACCAGAGTAAGGGGGAAAATTATGGGAGTGGACGCACATCATGTAGGCGAGACGGCAGAGTTCGTGGTTGTACTGGCCATGAGTGGGCATAAACCACTTTACACTAATTACTTTACATTAATATTATTGTTTGCAGACTTGAAAGGAGAAAATATTGGCAAAAAGTCCCTCAAAGTTCGTAGTCTGGGTGTAGAAGGTTTGGGGATTTTGAGCCGGATGGGCCATTGATGGTTGCGGTTGGCTTGGATAGGGAATGTAGAGATAGTAAGTGAAGAGGAGCAGGAGAACGAAGACGAAGAAGAATAATGGTTTATAGGCAGAAAAAAATTTAAGAATGTTGCTTAATGTGCATAAGGATCCAAACAATATATATTTGACACGATTAAAGTTGACTCATGTCGAGCCTCAGGGTGGTGGTGGAGCGGTCATGATGGACGGTTATTGTGCAAGAATTTGTTAAACGCATCAAATAGATATTAATTTGTAACAAATTTTTAGTTCGATCATCGCACTATATGTATGCATTGTCAAATTGCCTTTTATTAACAGTTTACAATGTAAGTGAAGTGGACTTAAATTATTACTCGATTATACATGTGCTATCTTTTTTTTACATGCATTATGTTTACATAATTCCAGCAAAATATTTCAAGAGTCCGTGGCAACGCACGGGCATTATACTAGTAAAAAAGATTAAACCGGTAGATTTTGAGATGGACAAAGTCGTGGCAGCCCTCGGGTACCCTATATGTCACCCTTCATGGAAGTACTGCAGAAAGGTCCCTCTCACGAGTCAACAGCAAAAAGGAAAAGAAAAAGAAAAAGAAAAAGAAAAGGTTTACCAAAACCAAAGCAATGGTGGTGACGAGAGCTCCCTCACTTTAACTTCCAATCAACCGATGAACCGACTTCCATTGCTCAGCCTTGCAAGCCAAGCGAAAGGCCCACCCGGCAGCCGACAGCTCACCACCAACCCCCCCAATGGCGAAGACGCAACCCCGCGGGCCGACGGCGGCGGAGCCGCTGCTCCCCCCGCCGCCGTACCTCGGCCCCCACTCGCCATCCCACCTCCACGACGCCGACCTCCACGACTCCTACGTCCTCCTCGTCCCCGTGCGCCTCCGCCGCCGCCTGCGCGGGGGCTGCGGCTGCGGCCGCGTCGCGGCGGCCCTCGCCGCCCTCGCGCTCCTGGCCCTCGCCTTCCTCCTCTGGCCCTCCGACCCTGGCGTCAGCGTGGCGCGCCTCCGCCTCGCGCACGCCTCCGTCGTCGCCCGCCCCGCCGTCGCCCTCAACGTCTCCGCCGCGCTCAAGGCCCGCGTCCGCAACCCCAACCTCTTCGCGCTCGCCTACAGCCGCCTCGACGTCGCTATCGGGTATCGTGGCAAGCCGCTCGGCACCGTCGCCTCCGGCGGCGGCCTCGTCCGCGCGCGCGCCGTCTCCTACGTCGACGCCGACCTCCGCCTCGACGGGATTCGCGTCGTCGAGGACGCCATCTACCTGTTCGAGGACCTCGCGCGCGGGTCCATACCCTTCGACGCCGTCGTCGAGGTCGAGGGCCACCTCCGCTTCTTCTTCCTCAGCGTCCCCGTCAAGGTGCGTGCCGCTGGAACCCTAATTACCGCCGATTGTTTATGTCTGGATGGAAGGCACGCATTGTGAATTAGATTACTGCCTGTCTCTAATTCGGTGCCCTTGCTGCAATGTGCGTTCCAATTCACATTGGATTGCAAGCCCTGCCCCAATCGTTAGGATCTGACGTCTAATTGACCTCCCAAACAAACAGAATTAGGATAGGACATTGCAAATAAAAATAAAAAATCATGTGAGAAAAACAACTCTACAATACCTTTGGCCATTGCAGCTCTGGATTGCGATACATATGTTGATTAGCACTTTTGTAATGGTAATCAGTCTACCAGGAGTGTAAATAATACTGTTGGAAGAAATATGCTCTGACTTCCATAGTCACGAATCACGATTCAGTAAACTTCGGTGTTATGATCTTCGACCAGTTACCTCTTACCTCTTCATCTTTCCATAATTGTTTGTCAGGGGTGTATAATACAATAGGTAAACTGGGAAATCGTACTATAATACATTATTTCTTTTATTTATTAATCTACAATACTTCAAGACTATTATGTGCCAGGTCTTTTGAGCAGGTTCTGTTTTTCTGTACTTCTCATCATTTATGATGATCCCCTAACTGAAGGCTGGTCCTTGTAAAAATTATTCACAAAGAAATAAAATAATAAGAGGTTTAAAATCATATAGAAAGAAGAAAATTCAATATTTTCAGAGTTAATATGTTGTGTTTCTAACTGGTTATCCCTTTCAGTAGGACACATAGAGGAAATACTTATAGTTAAATTTACCCTTCCTGTTATTCTCTTCTGTATTGGCCATGATTTTGAATTACTTGTGCAACTAGCATCTCAAAGTGATTTATTTTTTTGCTTCACATGTTTGAGGAAACAAAATCCCATAAAAAGCATAAGATTTGAATTACTATATTTACTACTTGGACCATTCTCATCTTCACTCCTACACTACATAATGACGCGATGGCTGGAAAATAGTTGAATAGTTTTCTACTTCACATCTCATGTTTTCCTCCAAATCTGGTGTGGGTTTAGGGTTATAAGATTTGGGTATCATATAAAATCCTGTAGAATGAGTTGTTTTACAGACTAGGCGGTGGCCATTTTAAACACTACAAAGGTATGCAGTGAAACCTCTATATCAGTCACAAGCTGGACCCACAATTCTAAGCCTGAGGCACTTGCAGTCATCTCTGAAACAATTTTTGTGATGCCACTAGCTGATACATTGCCTTCTCAATTTCTCATGTTCAGGGCAGCGGGCATCATATATTTTGTATTATGTTGTTGCAAAGTAGGACAGTTTAATGCTGCGATGATAGACTGAGAGTGTTACATTTCTGCCAAGATGTTTCTGGGTTACAATTTTAATATTCAAATGTTTTTTTTAATGCCACCAAGTAATTTCATTGCAATGGATGGTTGTTTGAAAGCCTGGAGAGCATGTTGGTGCTGCACCAGGTTGTTGTGGTGGTTGTTCTGTACGTTTTGTAATGCTGTAGAAATTGTGACTATGTTCACCAAGCTGGGTACTTTGGTGTCTGGTTTCGTTTTGTTCCACAGACGTAGGTGTGTTCCTGGTGTGGTGTCCCTATTAAACGCTATTGGGGGAACTTATGCTCCGTTATCCCTTGATAGTGGAATGGTGTCGTATCGTTTCTTTGTGGCATTTCAGGCAAAAGAAACTAATTGCTGATTTCGCAGTGAAGTATCTTATGTGTTACCTGGCTTTGTTGGGTTTGTTTTTTGATTTGATCTTGTTGAGATGTTCTTCAGTGATTCCTCCCAAAATATTTATATCTTTGGACCTCAGATGAAATCATTTTTTTATGCATCAAACAAGAGTTGTGGTTCTTGGGGCCCTGTCTGTTATCCTTCAATACAGATATAATAGTTTATCGCATTATCTAGTGCATGTTTTTTGTTGTTATTTCAGATACCAGAAAGACCAAAAGTTGCCCAACAAATTATATTATTGCCGCAACAGTGTTTTTATTCTGCTCTTCTCAATTTATGGTCATCATACTGAAGCCCTTGTATGGCTGTTGCAGGGGAGAATAGCTTGTGTGGTTCATGTTAATCCACACGATCAGACCATCGTACACCAGGACTGCTATCCAAAGGTAATGAACTTTGAACTCAGTTTACCGACTGAACGTCGATCGCAAACTTTCCAGAATCTGACCTGTTCATATTTTCTATCAGTGAGTTCGTGAGGCCTCGAGCTATATTCGCGTGTGAATCGATTGGTGGTTGTTGTATATTTGATCGGTGGTGATGGATGTGCACGTGGTGATATTTCTCATGTACTACTGTATGTATATACTGGTGGATGGGGGTGATTGTAAATTCTTTGGCATGCCCAAATACCGTAGTTTAAATCCGTGGTCATATCAAGAGATCTCTAATATCAATCAGTTCCGTTACGACAAGTGTTAATAACATTGTTTTACATTGTCATTCTGGATGCTGGCTGTCTGGGATCATCTGACATCGATAGGCCATAGCTCATCGGTATCAGATGTCCGTGGGCCAGTGGGTGCTGCAACCTTTCTCTGTTTCATTCAGGTCGAGTAGAGTCAGCTTCTTGTTAGCCATTCGTCTGGTTTTATATCGGCCTTGTTTGGATCATGGGGTTAGAGCTAGTTTGGGTTAGTTGAGGGCTCAAATAACCCAAAAGTATCCAAACAGGGAGGGTTAGAATGGGTTAGTTCCATCTAACCCAACTATCCCGGTGGAGAGGTGCTTATTTGGGTTAAAGTGGGTTAGAAAATAACTCTTAACTCTAACTGTGTTAGAGTATCCAAACAGGGCCATCGTTTACGTTTGGACCGTTCACATTTTTAATAGATTTAGCCAAGTTTGGAGATGTTTGACTTAAGGCCAAGCATAAAAACTTCAAGCATGGAGTAACCATCAGTACTAAAGTATGCATGTTGGAACTATGAGCACAAAATATTACAGTAAGGAATTCACGAGGCCCTAATCTGATACCCTTGTGGAGCAAAGAACAGCTTGGCATCCAGCTGCTTGGTTACATTCTAATTCTACATGACGGCAGTACTAGCGCCTGATCATTCTAATGTGGTATGACTATGCTACATTGCTACGAGGGAAGGGAGGAGACGAGGCATGCAGACGAACTATTTGGTCTCACTGGCCTTGGATGCTGGTGCTGCTGGCGGCGGGAGGCCGCTGTCGAGGCAGCTCCGGCACCGGCGCTCCACCCACCCCTCGACGTCGCCGTCCGCCGCACGCCCGCGCGAGGACCCCCGCGAGCGCCGCGGCGAGCACGATCGCCGCCACGATCACCACGATCGTCTCGACCGACCTCGCCGTGGACCGCGCGGCCGGGTCGTGGCGCGCATGCGCGTACGAGGCCGCGGCCTCCTGCAGCGACCTCCTCGCCGCCCACGCCACGGTCTCCATCGGCGCCAGCCGCTCTCTCGACCGACCCCCTCGCGGCTGCTGCTGCTACTTATAACAGGCGCACGCGGCGAGCAGAGGAGGCATGTAGCGAGCAGCGGACAAAAGAGGGGTCAAGGGGTTCTTCTGGCGCTCTCCTGCCCGGCGTCCGCGAGCGCGACACTTGCTATAGTCCGTCTCTGCTGCTGCGTGGCGTGGTGACCGGGCAGAGAGCCTCCTGGCCGCGCCTATCAGTATCAAGTGGTGACCGTTGCACCGTCGGATACCATGTGGCGTCTCTTTCACTGCGTCGCCTGGGAAATGTTGCCGGCTTTGGCTGGCTCCGGCTCCTCGCCGGGCCGCGCGTTTTGAAAGTGCGCGCGCTGCAATTGTAAGAGCAACTCCTGTTGAGTATATTGTGTACATGCATATTTATGTGCAGGGCGCACCTTCTGTTTCCCATGTATAGTTGAGGTTGTGACCCACCTCCATATTTATATATACGTGTCTGATGCACCGATCAATACATCGCGCTTGCACAACCCACATCTTGTCCTTCTACATGGCATCTATCGCAGTACGATCCTAAAACCCTAAGCTGCCGCCGCCACTCCCCGCCGTCGCGCCTCCACGCGTCGCCGCCACCGTCCTCTCGGTCGCCGCCGCCCCTCCCCATCGTCTTCCTGAGGCCGCCGCCGCCGATCGCCACCAACTTCCGCCCACGCCCTCTCTCCCGAACCCTAACCTCCCACCCGCGCCGCGACCCGCACCACCCCAGCCCGCCTCCCACCCGCGCCGCGACCCGCATCACCCCAGCCCGCGCCGCCACACCTCCCAACCCGCGCCGTGTCCCGAGCCCGAACCTTAACCCTAGCCATGAGCTCCTCCTCCTCCACCGTCTCAAACCCGTTCGCCGATCCTGATGTCACCCTCGTCCACGACCTCAACATCCATGAGCGTGTCCCGGTGAAGCTTGATCAATACACCGCGTCCTACTCCGCTTGGAAGCGGTATTTTTCGCTTGTGTTCCGTGAGTACCTCCTGCACGGCCATGTGGGAGGCACCGTGGACTCGGCGCTCATGATCAACGACGAGGAGTGGATGATCCTCGACGCCACCATCATCTGCTGGTTCTACCTCACCAGCGACCTCTTCCACATCGTGGTGGATGACGACGACGACGCCTACGCGGTCTGGACCAAGCTCAACGGCCTCTTCACCGACAACCGGCTGCAGCGCAAGGTCCTTCTCCATGACGATGGGTGCCAGCAGCTTGACTCGTCCATCGATGATTTTTGCATGCGCCTCAAGAAGCTTGCCGATGAGCTCCGTGATCTCGGGGAGACGATCGGCGACGAGCTCCTCATCAGCACCCTCACCGCCGGCCTCAACGAGGATTTTGGGAACGCCGCCTCCAACCTTACCCTCATCCCGGAGCCTACCTTCGCTAAGGTGGTCGCGTACCTCAAGTCGGAGGAGCGCCGGATGCGGATGGCGCGGACTCGCGCGACCCACACCGTCCTCGTCGCCGGCACCCGCGGGGGTCAAGCCCCGCCACCGCCGCGCCCAACGCCGCCCTAGCCGGCGGCGCCCGCCTTCCCGCCAGGTTTCCCGCCCGCCCCGGCCGTTTCCTTCCCGCCGCCCCAGCCGGCGGCCAATGGGGGGGGGTCGTCGCGGCGGCCGCAAGCAGGGGGCGCATGCGCTTAGGAAGGAGCACCCCGCCCGCCGCAGCAGGCTTATCAGCCGGCCCCGTGGTACGCCGGCCAAAACCCATGGACCGGTGTTGTGCACGCCTACTCTATGCCGGTTCCCCGGCCCCCTGCCCAGGGTATTCTCGGTGCCCGACCACCGTCGCACCAGGCGTTCTACGCCGCGCTGCAGCCCTATGCGGCGCCCTATGACAGTCCTTAAGCTCGGCCTCCTCTTCTATGTCCTGCTACACCGGTGTCACTGCCTGCGTTGCTCCTCTCGGCCTCCTCTCCCGCGTGTTGTTACACTAGCGCCACCGCCGGCGTCGTTCCTCTCAACCTCCTCTCCCACGTCCTACTACACCCGCGCGGTCGTCGTTCCTCTCTGTGTCATCTCCCACGTTCTGCTACACTGAAGCCATCACTGGCGTCGTTCCTCTCGCCTCCTCGCTCGCATCCTACTACAATGGTGTCATTGCCATCGTCGTTCCCTCCCGCATGTTGTTGCATTAGCGCCACCGTTAGCGTCGTTCCTCTCAACCTCCTCTCCCGCGTCCTACTACACTCGCTCGATCGTCCTTCCTCTCTATGTCGTCGCCCACGTTCTGCTACACTGAAGCCATCACTGACGTCGTTCCTCTCGACCTTCTCGCCCGCGCCCTACTACAACGGCACTGTCGTCATCGTCGTTCTTCTCGGCCTCCTTCTCCGCGTCCTACTACACTGGCCCCGTTATCATCGTTGTTCTTTTCGGCCTCCTCCTCCCCGCCCTACTACACTGACACCGCCATGGCGGGCACACTGCATGTTTTTCCATCATGCTCTACCTCAACGCCCATCTATTCGTTACTCCACATGGATTTTCTCTACGGCGATAGCGCTAGCAAATAGTTCACTGCACCGCCGATGAGGTCGCTCGCCTGCGACTCCTTGCTCGTTGTGTGGGACGCGGCGCCGCAACCACCGCCTACCATTGTCGCCGAGGCACTCTAGTGTAACACTGTGTGTTATGGGTAGCTATTAAGTCTTAATCATATTCCGTGCAAGCAACCAAACAACGTGCACTGATCTGACTACATACAATGCGAGCAACCAAACGCGGTGCATAGAGGCATCGTTATGATGCAAGGAGAGGACATGCATGCAACCAAACTAAGTGCGGATGTTGGTTTTTGGCCTGCATTTGCTTAGCCAGGCCCAACTGAGACAAGTATGCAAAAGGGAAAAAAACGATGCAGGTAACTAAACGCGCTCTTATAGAAGTGCAGGCCGTCGTATCACAGGATCTTCGCCATACAGTCGAAGAAAATTTCACATGCAAGTTTAATATTTTTTGTGTACACGGCCAACATTTTTTCTATACATATTTTAAAAATTCCTCAATTGCTTGATTAACATTTTTTCAAATAAAATATTAACCTTTTTTAATACGTGGTAAACATTTTTTCTATACACATTTTCACAAATGCTTGATTAACACTTTTTAAATACACAGTTAATAGTTTTAAATACATGGTTAATATTTTTGCAAATTTATACATATTAAAATACAATTTATTTAATACCTGGTCAACATTTTTTGTACACATTTAGTTTTTTTAAATGCCTGATTAACACTTTCTAAATTCAAAATATATATTTTAATACATGTTTAACATTTTTCTATACATATTTAACATTTTAAAATGCTTGATCGACAGTTTTTGAAGGCTTGTTTACCATTTTGTCAAATGTTTGATTAACATTTTTTTAAATAAATGATCAACTTTTTCACACCATTGTATATTGTTCCGTATACACGAGAAACAATCTTTCTATACACTTCTAATATTTTTCAAATGCCCGGTTAACTTTTCTAAAAACATTTTATGCAACGTGTTTTTTGCAATATATTTTATTTAATATATTTGTAAGTATAAATAAAAGCTAAAGAAATAGAGAAAATAAAATAAAAAAGAAGATAAATAGTATAGTATGGGCAGCCTGATTTCTAATTTTAAACTTTTGCACGAATTTGATTTAATTTTTCTTCAATTTTAAAAATATTTATTCATTCAACAAAGGACCATGATTTTTTAAAAAATTAACGGATTAAAAATCCATTTATTCAAGAAATGTTCATGAATTTGAAATAAAGGTCAAGAATTTAGAGAAGTTTGCGGGATTTGAAAAAAGGTCATGAATT